TCCAAGTGAAATGAATTTAAGGTGCAGGAAAAGTGGGTGAGAGCCGTTCTGGGTGGCAGGGTTCCCCCCGGCTCATCCACACAGCTGAATTTCTGGGTATTTGTGTTTGTTAGAGCTGGGAAAGCAATTAATGATGGCTCACAATTCGGTGTCTTTCCCATCTTCGCACTTTTCCTTGTTATTTTTCAGGCTGCTCATTTTTTTCAACCAAGTGCAAAAAATGTAGAGAGAGAAAATTAAAACCCCCTGAGTTGCTGCTGTGTGTAGCAGGGTTTGGGGCAGTCTGTGCTGTTTAAAATGCAGATTATTTTGACCAAGCACACAGACTATTCCTTTGTGCCCCTCTCCCACTCTTCCCTGCCCTGGGATCTGTCCCATAGCTCTCAAAGCAGCCCTGAGTGGCACTGGCACCCCTCAGGAAAGGGCTCTGCCTCCCTCTTGCAGAAGGATGCAATATCCAGCAGAGGGGAAGTGCAGAGAAGGGTTTAGCGCCAAATACCATTGCTCAGAAAACACACCTTGAGACGTTAGAGCAAACAGAGCCTGCTCCAGCCTTGCCCTGTGCTTCCCCCCCGTCACGGGGGGAAAAGCCATTATAAAAAGAGGGAGAATTCCCCTGCAAAACTGGGAATAATAAAACCCTCCCATTAATCTCCCTTTACTGCCGCGGTGACAAGTGCCGGGGCTGGGGCGGCTGCCGAAGGTCACCTCTGGTGCTGCCCGCCCCGGGCACAGGGCTGGTGTCCCACCACGCTGGGAGGGGACTGGCAGGGAGCTGTGGCTGAGCACAGATCTGGGGCTCCCTCTCGGGGGGCTCTGCAGCCTTCCTGCTGGAAAAATCCTCCCGAAACAAGCGCGGGCTGGCAGGGCCCTGCCCATGAATATGCATGGCCATGGCGTGCCCTGCTCATGCCTCCCCATTAAACAGGGGTGGCAGCAGGCTGGCCCCTTCCCTTCCCGGGTGGGTGGCAGGGGGCACCTGGCTGGCTCCAAAGGCTGCCCTGG